CCATGCGCGGAATAAATGGCAGTCTAACGATCAGTCTGCTGTGTGGTGTCATGGTTTGCCCAACTCGCAATTCGACGGAGCCATCACCAGTCAGGGTGGCGACTCCTTTGAAGATTTGGTTGTTCTTTTTTCAACATTTTATTGAATCTAGTGGTCCCTTACTGACTAGAGGGGGTCATTTTAACACACTGCGTACACCATATGCAAATTGAAAAACATAAAGGCTCGCACACGATGTGACGCTTATATCATTAGCCTGGGAATCGGTAATAATCAGTGTCAGTCGATGCATCTGTACACCCAGGGGTGCCGCAGTGGCTAGGAGATGTTAACTCCCTCGCCTGGTATGCAGGAGGTCGTGTGTTCGATCCCGACCCTGTGACGCCTGTTGCACATTTGGAGTTTTCATATTCTCCCTGTCGTCGCTTGGATTTTTCTCCGAGTCCTTCGGCTTTTCCCTCCCAACATTCAGGATTGACATCACGTGTTTAGATATGTTTTGGCTGCTATAAATTTCCACGTGATAAGCCACTTCGTTGAGCTATAGCTTGTTGTCAGGACGCTTTTGAAAAAGAGCTACATGGCTCAGTGGGGCCTTACCTGGTAAAATAAAAATAAATTGTAAATAAAAAAATACCGTTGAGAAATCATTCGGTAACTTCAATAACCACGTGCGTTTTTCTTCTGTCTGACTGTCTCGCAAAGGTTTTCACCTTGAAACGGTTTCAGACAGAAGCATATTTTTAGACGTTTCACTGTAAAATGACACCCGAGTCCAATTTGCCGACCAATATAAAGGAGGCTGACTTCATAGGAGCGGGGATGGCATGTTAGCTGAAGGAGACTGCAAGAATTTGCAACATTTCCCATTGCTCCGGATCTCTGTGAAGAATGTGATTTCACACGCAAGTCATGGCTCTTGTTACGGAGAGTTTGGGCGCCCCGTTGTGACGATCTGTGGGTTCGTGTTAATTCCGCGGTCCTCGTCTGCCGCTCTTCAACGGGGTATTCTTTACACACGAGTTATGTCAATTATATTGCATACGTTATATGTTAAACTGTAAAAAATAAACCGAAATAAACGATGTCAAAAAATAGCATGTGAACTGTTTGTAAAAACTATGAATATTTTGTGTTACCTTTTCAGGTGCGTAAAATAAATAGTATGCGAACTATTTATAAAAACTATGAATATTTTGTTTTACTTTTTTAGGTAAGGCCCACTGAGCTACGTAGCTCTTTTTCAGAAGTGACCTGGTTATCACAAATGGTAGCTCAACGAAGCGGCTTATCATGTGGACATTTAAAGCAGCCAAATACTCTAAATGCACGTTTCTAAATGTGAAGGGAAAATCGGAGGACCCGGAGAAAAATCCACGTGACTACGAGGAAGGAGAGAGAGAGACACGCAAACTTCAAATATACAGCAGGCGTCGGGGTCGGGATCGAACCCACGACCTCCTGCATACCAAGCGAGGTAGTTAACATCTCCTAGCCACTGCGACATGTTAATGTGCTGTTAATGAGCTCAAGAAATGTTTCAAAGGAAACAAAACATGAAAAACGTTGTAAATAAGACTGCATTTAAAAAAAAAAACACACACACGGATTGTGACTTACAAATCTTGACTTATTTAAGTGAAATCGATGGTCTCGGCAGGTTTGGGTGAGAGACGGCAATTCCCGGACGGAGAGAGCAGGTATCCCCGGCGGTCACCTGCGCACGATGTGCGGTTGCGCAGTGGCGGGGTGAGAGGGGGAAGGGGGTTGCCCTTCGCTCGGCCTCTGCAAACTCTGCAAAACCGCTCCGTCGGTTCGCGCCTTCCTCCGGGCGCGCGCGCGTGCGTGCTGATTCACTCCGACCTGGAGCAGGACGGCGGGGGTTGTGGCGTGAGACTGGCGAGGAATGACGATCCCCCCCATCATTTCGCCAGATGCTTCCGATGACAAAAACGTCCTTCGATGCTGCGAATGCATTCGCAGGCAAGGGGCGCAAAGCGCGCGCGCGCCGCATGCGGAGGAAACCTCGCTGGGGAGATGGGGAAGGGCCATGCGATGAAAAAAGCACATGGTGCTCGTGACTGTTCTGGAACTTTACACAAATGACACGCTCCCAATGAAGCGATAGACGCCCGCTCAACGGGGGGAGACACCTATATACCGTATAACGTCACCTTGCATAAGCCAGAAGTGTGTGATGGTATACCTCTGTTTTTGGCTTCAGAGTTGCGCGGGTAACAGCACATCCCTGCGATGTTTTTTCTCCTGCCACTGCTGGTGGAAGGACCTCTATCACGAGTGCTGCTCTAAAGAGCCGTATTCGAGGATAGTTTGATTGAAGGTTGCACGTTGTTAATTAATCAACTATACTCTTATGCACCCAACCAATTGCGCTTTATAATCGCTTGTTATTAATAAATTAAGTGTGGCAGGAATGATTGACCACTGAGAGTCACCTCTAGATGCGTTCACCTGAAACCTTCTATAGCACAATTGACGGTGGGGAAACGTGAGATTTGAATTTCCTCCCTTCACTGCGAAACGTGGTAACTGAGAAAGCCACGGGGATATTTCCGTGCGAGTTAAGGGGGTGGGTGCCGGGGGGGGGGGGGGGGGCAGTGGAGACTTTTACGAACGCTTGGTCCCAAGTTCGTGCGCCCTGTGAGCTTGATCGTCCAGACTGGACCGAGAAGAAACGAGGGTATGTATCCCGCCATGGTGGCGAGATGTTAACTACCTCGCTTGGTACACGGAAGGTCGTGGGTTCGATCCTAACCCTGACGCCTGCTGTATATTTGGAGTGTGCATGTGTCTCTCTGTCCCGGTGGTCCACGTGGATTATTCTCCAGTTCCTCCGGTTTTTCTCTCCACATTTAGAATCGACGTGCACGTAGGGTATTTTGCTGCTGTAAATTTCCGCATGATGAGCCGCTTCGTTGAGCTATCATTCGGGATAGCCAGGTCGCTTCTGAAAAAGAGCTATATAGCTCAGTTGGGGCCTTAGCTGGAATTTTTTGGATGGTGTTGTTTAGTATGTATGATGAGCTTCTTTTGCGCACCGTACGTAGCCAACCGTGCTTATTGGAGGTGTATGGGGAGGACAGCAGGGTGCAAGGTGGATTATTGCGTCCCTGGATCACGGGAGGTCATCAGAAATAACGACGCAGTGGCAGACAACATATGAAACGCATTTGATAAGACGTCTACAGTGAAGATGGACAATTGAAATCGGCTCGTGCCGAGGTGCCGGGTGGATCATCACATGAATCGTGAGAGACGGCGTCAGCTGGGGGAGGTCTTCATCCAGCAGTAGATTGATCATGGCTGATAATGCTGATGATGCGGTGTGAGTCTTGCCAAATCAGACCACTGTAAAGGGATATGACATGACCTGGCTGGCCATCCTGCGTTTTGGATTTGTGAAGCTGCCCGTAGTTAAGTTAAAGTTCTCCAAACGTAGCGAGTTGACCGCCTCATCCCGGTCACCAATCGCTGCACACACACACACACAAAACATTTTCACTGCATTCACCTTAACGCTCAGCTCTGATTGTGAAATCAGAAATCGGTTTTAATATGCGACCAACAATATTAGCAGGGCCTGTAAATGACACGCCTCCAGTTTGGCTGACGTAGCCTTATTGACGCGACCTTGGAAGTTGTTTTCCCGCCACGTCAAGTTCCAAGGGTTGTTCTCGAACACAGCAAGTGGCTCGGTTTAACACGTAACAGGCCATCACGACCAATATTATTCATAATGAAGGTTTCTTTGTGTTCGATCGCCTAGGCATAAATGCGTCGTAGCCCTCCACCACCCGACACGGCCAGCAAGGTTTGTCACGTAAACAACGCGCCAATTTTAGTTCACTGCTTCAGCCCACCGGTGGGTTCAGTGATGACATCATCTTGCTCTATTTAATACCGGAACCCAAGTGGATTGCCTCGCCATTCTGGCACATTCGCCAGATGACGCTGGTTGGTGTAATTGCCAGCGGCACGTCACGGTACTCGCATCGCAAATGCCGTGGACTTACTCCCCGACACGCCGGTGGGCTGAAGCAGTAAACTGATTGGCACGCGTTGTTGTTTACGTGACAAACACCGCTGGCTGTGTCGGGTGGTGGAGGGCTACGGCGCACTTATACTGACGCGATCTAACGCAGAAACCCTTCATTCTGAACAGCAAGGGGGTGCTGTACCGCTCACTCTTGATAGTTCCAATGGAGATTCCCGCATCTTGCGACGCGGAGAGCGCATTTTGACCTTTGACTTAAAACTTTCGTGACTGCAGGAATTCATACTATTGGTTCTTTCGGTAAAGTCACTTGGAAAATTAAAAGTCAATAAAAAAATATTAAATTTCGATTTAAAGCTTTTGCGACTGCAAGGATTCATCTTCTTTGGTTCTTTCGGTAAAGTCACGTAGAATGAGAATAAAATAATAAATTGATCAAATAAAATAACACAATAATATTCTCACGACGTTTCGGCCACAACACAAGCGGCCTTCATCAGGTGAAGGGACGAGACTGTCTGGAGGACAGCGCTGGAGTGAAAAAGCTTGTGACATGACTGTCTGGAGGACAGCGCTGGAGTGAAAAAGCTTTTTCACTCCAGCGCTGTCCTCCAGACAGTCTCGTCCCTTCACCTGATGAAGGCCGCTTGTGTTGTGGCCGAAACGGCGTGAGAATATTATTGTGTTATTTTATCAATTTATTATTTTATTCTCATTCTGCGTGACTTTACCGAAAGAACCAAAAAAGGTTAAAAAATATTATTATAATTAAAATAATATAATTTGTTTTAATTGTCTATCTACGCGACTTTACCGAAAGAACCAACAATACACATTTTTGAACGTACGGGGGTGGTGGTGGGGGCGGGGCGCAAGCTTGTGGAAGACGAGCGAGACGCGGCGTGGCTGCTTGTTATGACGTATTTGTCTCGTGTCCTCGCTCCTTCTCTCCCCACCACCCCCGCTCCTCCTCCCCCGGGAGCAGAAGATCCGCTCGAAGGTCGAGCTGGAGGTGTACGATCAGCCGGACGACGTGGTGCTCTCCTTCACGGCCGTGTGCCAGAACGGCACGGCGAGGCCCGGCCAGCGGCAGTGTGGAGGCCTCCGTGTGAGGGACACGGTGAGAGCCGCCGTGCACGCCCCCGCGTCCCGCTACAAAAATCTGCGTTCAATGGCTGACGGAGCTTGCGGTGGTCTGGCGTCGTCGTTTTGTGGAACGCCTTGTGCCCAACCCCCCCTCCCCCCCTCCCCCCCCCCCCGGTTTCGTTAGGGACGGGTCCCGTCAGTCGAGGTTTGCAGGGCTCGTCTGAAAAAAGCGCGTTCATTTTCTCTTGCGTATCCGTCTGTGTAGGGTTGATTTTTCTTGTAGCTTTAATGTTTCAGGTTTTTATTTTTTTTTCACTGGGATTGTATTATAAAGCGCTGTGAGGTCTTGTGTTTTGCTTACGATTCCAACTCGCTGCTCCACTGGACGTCTGCCAAAAACATTATCAGGCTGCGGCGTGTACGACATTCTCTGGCCTACGGGGTACTGCAAAGGTCCAACACCGCGTCCGTCCAGTGCTCGCTGAGCTGCATTGGCTTCCGGTAGCCGAACAAATAAGTTTTAAGGTCACGCTCATTTCACACAGAAAGTTCTCGCCTCAAGTGAACCACAATACCTTGCTGATCTCGTCAAGGGGCGTCAACCATCACGCAAACTCCGGTCATCCTCACAACAGCTTTTCGCTGGCCATCGAACAAAGATGGTCACCGCATCGCGCGCTTTCAGCTCTTCCTTCCGACATTAGGAAGCAGCTGGAGCTTTGCGCTTTTACGTCGTCTAGATTGACGGACTAATTTCTTTACTCTTTGCTCCTTTCGGTAAAGTCACGTTGGTAAAAATAAAAAAAAATGAAGTAAATCAAATCGCGACGTTTCGGAGGCAACACAAGCTTCCGTCATCAGGTGTAGCTAGCACAGCAAGATGGCTGTTCACCTACGTGACCTTACCGAAAGAGCCGAAGAGTATGGAATCATCGTCAGTCACGAACACTCCAAATCTAGAATTAATTTCGTTGCAGCTGCTCTTTGCGTGTTAGTTTGTGCGTTGGTTTGTTGTTATCCTGTGCCGGGTCAGCCCAGCGTGGGTCACCGACCGTCAGCCGGGGTTTTTTTTTTTTTTTCCCCCACCGCAGAAGCTCAGCTGCGCCGCTATTAATCGCCACACTCGCCGAGTGACATCGCGGTGATGCTTGCGCGTCCTCACCGACTTGCGTTGCGGTAAACGAGTCGAGACGCGCGTAGGTGACGCGGTGCGCGTACTGCCCGATGTCACACGCGGTAAAAGGAGTCGAGGCACGTGTAAATTGCGTTATAATAGTATTGGCGTTTATTCAGGAAAGGCTCACGGATACCTCCTTTTAAATGATGTCGTTCATCAGCGGTCATTTGACCGGAGCATTTTTTTTTTTTTAAAAAAGGTCGCTTGTAATTTTATATAGAAGTGAAGGATGTCTTGTTTCAACTTGGCTTCACTAGGAATGATCTTGACGAATCGGTGGCCCTTAGCAGGTTTATTTTTTTACCTTACCTCATCCAGTCTCTTTCCTTCACACAAATGACGGGGGTTCCCTTCTCTCAAGTGCGCTTCACCTTACTTGGCCTTAAGTTTTGATTTAAAGCTTTCGTGACTGCGGGGATTCATGTTATTGGTTCTTTCGGTAAAGTCACCACGTAGAAGGGAAACAATAAAAGAATTAAAAAAATATATATAGTGTGACATTCTTAGCTCTTTCGGTAAAGTCACATTGAAGGGAAACAATAAAATAATAAAATATATATAAAACAATAAAAATTATCACGACGTTTCGACCATAACGCAAATGGTCATCATCAAGGTGATGATGAACGAGCTAAGAAAATGAATTATTGCAGTCACGAAATCTTTAAATCAAAATATAGTGAGAATTTTATTGTTTTTATTGTTTTATTGTTTTACTTGGCCTTGTTCACGATTGTTAAGGTCGGACTGCGGCTACATTGTACGCACGGCAATCATCGCCCGCTGCTGGTAAATCAATGCCGCAGGTGACTTGCAAATTGAGACGAGACGGGTCTGTTGAGTTCACACCCTGTTAAACAAAATAGCTTTGAAACCTGATCAAGACATCATTTCAACATTACCACCGTAATACATTTTTATGCCATTGAGTCATAGCAACAACCATCCATCACCCACCAGGGTTTTCTGTGTTTGGGCACGGACGCGTCATGTGTAGCTCAAGTGTTTTTCGGAAAGTACTTCATCATCTCTGCTGTGACAATCTCAGTTCCATTGCCTCAAAATCTACCCCTTTGAATTTGAACGATTTGAATAGTCACTGTGCCTGTGCGCTCACACTTAGCGAGTCTCTCAGGGAGATAGCTGAAATGTTCTTCATAATAAAGGTTTTTTGGGTTAGATCGCGTTATTTATAAATGTGTCGTAACCCTCCACCACCCGACATGGCCAATCAGCAAAAAAAGTGTCACGTTGACAAAGGACAAATAGTTCACTACTTTAGCCCACCGGTGTGTTGAAGAGTGAATCCACAACATTTACAGTTTGAGTTACTACATTTCGCTGGTAATTACATCCAGCATCATCGGGCAATAAAAAAAAATCTACTTCATATAATCTTTACGATAGAAAATGAAAGAATAATCTTTATTTCATCCTGGAGAAATCCGATGAGCTATGAAGCTCTTTTTCACATATGTCAAGTAGTGGTGGCTCGGAAAGTCACGGCAACAAACAATACAAAACGATTGGAGTGCAAAATAGAGGAAAAGAAAGCAAATCACTAAGAATAAATATGTAAAATAAAGTATCGTATCTCTTACAAAGTACAAATTGCAAAAGTATATGAACCATTTATATAAACAGAAATGATAGCCCAATTAAGTGGCTTATGTGGAAATGTATCGTAGCCAAATACTCTCAACCCGTGTTTCTAAATGTGGAGGGAAAAAAAACGGAGGGCACAGAGACAAATCCACGCGACCACGGGGAGAGAGAGAGAGACACGCAAACTCCAAATGTGCAGCAGGCGTTATAGACGGGATCAAACCTACAACCTCCTGTATATCAGGCGAGGTAGTTAACATCTCCTAGCCACCGTGATGATGATGAAAGAGAGACACGCAAACTCCAGATATACAGCAGCAGGCGTTAGGGTCGGGATCGAACCCGCCCCCTCCTGTATATCAGGCGAGGTAGTTAACATCTCCTAGCCATCTCGTCATCTGGCTGTTGACTTGCGGGAAACCTGTCGAGCTGCCTGCGTAAATGGCCTCGTTTGTGTGAAGGGCCTGGTTTGTGTGAAGGGCCTGGTTTGTGTGAAGGGCCTGGTTTGTGTGAAGGGCCTGGTTTGTTTGAAGGGCCTGGTTTGTGTGAAGGGCCTGGTTTGTCTGAAGGGCCTGGTTTGTGTGAAGGGCCTGGTTTGTCTGAAGGGCCTGGTTTGCGTGAAGGGCCTGGTTTGTGTGAAGGGCCTGGTTTGTCTGAAGGGCCTGGTTTGTGTGAAGGGCCTGGTTTGTCTGAAGGGCCTGGTTTGTCTGAAGGGCCTGGTTTGTGTGAAGGGCCTGGTTTGCGTGAAGGGCCTGGTTTGCGTGAAGGGCCTGGTTTGTATGAAGGGCCTGGTTTGTATGAAGGGCCTGGTTTGTGTGAAGGGCCTGGTTTGTGTGAAGGGCCTGGTTTGTGTGAAGGGCCTGGTTTGTGTGAAGGGCCTGGTTTGTGGGGGCTTGTGGGTTGCGTTATTCGCGGCTTCTTTTTGTACGCGTAGATGCTGTGTGTTCACGCATTGGTTTGTTAGCAGTTTGAATTGTGCCAGTGGTTCGGGAAATAGTTTGAGTCTGTGTTTGATTAGCGTTTACAATGGTTTGGTTTTGCGGTGTGTTAATGGTTTGGTGCGTTTTTAAGAGTCTGCGTTGTGTGTTAATGTTTCGGTTTGCCATGTAAGTTTTCGTTTTTGTCACACAGTGCCACCTCGTGGTAGCACTTGGGAAGCCAGAAGCGCATCTGAGCACATAGCCAGTGCACGCTAAGACACGAGCCCGTGGAGGGTCATGCTATTTAAATACTATCACGAATAACAACTCATTAATGAGAAAAACCAACAGGTACTTTAACACGGCCGGGTGTGTTAAGAAACTCTGGTGCCGCTTGAACGCTGCCCGAGTCGAACCAAACCGCCAAAAGGTTCTAAAAGCCAAACTTAAAGGGACCCATATTCTTGGTTAAAATACAAGAATATGAATCCCTGCAGTCGCGAAAGCTTTAAATCAAAATTTAAAAGTGACCCGCCGACGGGTGCCAGGAGTGGCGGGAGAAACGTGCCGTGCTGCGTCGTGGCTCCGTTAGTTCGCTTCCACGTTTGTCACAACACTTTCCTCCCACTGGAGCGCGGGGAACAACAAACGTCCCCACCGCCCCCCACCACACACTGAGCTATGTAGCTTTTTTTTTCAGAAGCGACCTGGCCATCACGAATGATGGCTCAACGAAGTGGCTTATCATCATCATCGCGTGGAAATGTATAGCAGCCACATACTCTCAACGCGCGTGCCGTTGATTCTAAATGTGGAGGGGAAAAACCGGAGGACCCGGAGAAAAACCCACACGACCACGGGGAGAGAGAGAGACACGCAAACTCTAAATATATACGACAGGCGTCAGGGTCGGGAATCGAACCTGCGACCTCTTGCATACCAGACGAGGTAGTTAACATCCCGCCACCTTGGCGCCCTAATATCCCTGATGTATGGGGACCTGTCACGTCACGAGACGGAGCGGCGGGGTCACATTACCACACATTACGGCATCAAGTGGAAACAAATGACGAAATGGGCAGCAGACACCTAAGGGACTATATGCCCGTGGACCGTGATGATGATCAGTTTAACACGTAGGCTTTCGCGAACCAATATCATTCATAATAAAGGTTTTTCGTGTTAGATCGTGTTATTTATAAATGTGTCGTAACCCTCCACCACCCGACACGAGCCAAACAGTAAAAAAAAGTGTCACGTTTACAAAGGACAAATAGTTCACTACTTTGGCCCACCGGTGTGTTGAAGAGCGATTCAACATGATGATGATGATGATGATGCATTGCGTTCGTGTCCGGACGTGGCCACTGCGGGGCCATGTGGACCGATGAATGCTCGCCTCTGCTAAGTACCAGCCGTATCACCGTCGGCTTTTGCCTGCATCCGAGGATGTAATGTCCTGGCGCGCAGAGTTTGAATGCTTTCCACGTGGATTCTCTGCTTCTCCCCCATCTGCTTTAAGGACGCCCTGTATGCGTTTATTTGGGCGTTTTGCACCGTAAGTCGAATCGAGCTCTCGGTAAAAAGTTAAAAGACTTAGGAAGCATCGCCCCCGTGATCGCCTTGGCCAAAAAGGCTTGCACATAATCATTGTTAGTTTTAATCAACACATTTTGAGTAACCCTGTAATTAATTTGTCCTGGTTTTCTACAATGGGTGAGTCCCTAACATTGAAACTAAACTTTAATTTACATCATCATCCTTTTTCCAAGACTTATCGCGAATCCCCTGTTACGAACGGACAGAACCGCAGCTGGAAAGCGTTTACTCGTAATGTCACTTATTCATCCGAGGAGAGACTCGCCGAGTATCAGGGTTCTCTTGTTCAAGATGATCCACCACTGGCATGTTTGGCCAGTTCCTCAATAGGGATTTTTTTCTTTCTCATGAAACCTCAGCGCGTGGACAAATCCCGCCGCTAGTACAAGGAGGGTGGTGTCATGCCAAAAAAAAGGCCTGGACAGTCAGGTGGCCCACCTAACGAATCCATTCGTTGGCAGTGGTGTGGAGGCACAAAGGATAATAACACTGCCCCAGAAGGAAAATATACATGACGATTAGAAACGGCTTTGTGCAACAGGCTGGCTATGACGAATGACCATTTTCCACTACTTCACCTATTATATATATTATTCCTTTCGGCGCAGCGTTATTGGTCGAATGTGTTGATCTTTTGCTGTTAATACCGTGTCAGAGGACTATGCCGGCACCTGTGAGATGATTGCGGATTTTAATCTTGAGCAGCCACCCGTGACTAAACCCGGTTCTCACATTACACCAAGGGTAAAATATTCCAACTGAATAATCTCTACATCGACGGGACCCACAACTGCTCGACCCGAGCCATCAATGCTTTGATATTTGCGTTGTCATTGTGCCGTTCGCCTTTTGGCGTTGTCCTCTGGTCTGACACCGGTGAGACTAAGCCATAAAGGAGGCCTCTCTCTGCTGTAGGCCACTCGGTTTCAAAGACAATGCATACGTTGTTATCAAAGCACGTTTGTTTGCATATTTTACCGCAAGCATGTGCGGTTCGTGCAGACTTGATGATGCCTTGCGGATAGAGGTGCCTATTTGATGTTTGAACAGCTTAACACCTCCTGTATTTTTGCCGGCAAGTGTAAAGCCGATTAGCACGGTTGGCTACGTATGATACGAAAGAAGTTCAACGTACGTACGTACAAAGCCTTTTAACATTTTTTTTTAAATTATCACCGCTGCTTCTGCTGCTGCTGCTGCTGCTGCTGCTCGTCGTCCCCCTCCAGGTGAGCTTCACCGTGACGGCGGAGGCGCGTGGATGCCCCCGCGGCGCCGGGGACGACGGCGTGGGCCCCGGCGCGCGTTCCTACGAGCGCAACTTCACGATCAAGCCCGTGGGCTTCCGCGACAGCCTGCACGTGACGGCGCTGGTGCGGTGCGGGTGCGCTTGCGAGGCGCGCGCCGTGCCCCGCAGCCCGCACTGCTCGGGGGGGAACGGCTTGCTCTCCTGCGGGCTGTGCCGCTGCAACCCCGGCAGGATCGGGGAGCTGTGCGAGTGCCAGGAGGAGGAGGAGCTGGGACAGCAGGCTCCGGCCGGGAGTGCGCCGGTACGGTGTGCTACTTTTCGCCGGGAAGTAGGGGGGGGGGGGGGGCGGGAAGGAGGGGCGGGGTGGAGGAGGAGGGGGGGGGGGTTCTTGTTGATGTCAAGAGCAGCCTCTGTGGAGGAGGAGGCTCGTGCAGGACGCTGCTGGGCGGTTGGAGGCAGTCGCCCTCCACGACAACAACGAGCGGAGCGCCGGGCGGCTAAAACGCAGCCAGTTGGCACAGTAGGGGGGGTGGGGGGGGGGTGGGTGCAGGCAGCGAGCCTTCGACGCTTAACGTGGCCTCAGAATGCACATAGCCTGGCACGAGTAACGTCACCGAATGGCGGTTGTTGTTGTTGTTGGGAAGCGGTAGTGTAGCGGTTAGCGCACCGCGCAACGAACCCGGCGACCCAAGTTTGATTCCCGCTCACGGCCAACACGAGTGAGTGACTATTGTCCGCACCGGTCCTGGGCCTCCACCTAGGTCGGCTCGGCCTGAAATGAGTACCTGTGGTGATGTGTAGTAAACTGGGGTGATGTGCAGTAAACATCGCCACCGGGGAGACAAAGGCGGTCGGGGGGGGGCGCGGCGGCGGCCACCCACATCGCCTCTCGTTACCGGTGCCATCTTTCATAGGTGCCGTACACTCGTAGCGCTTGCCCCCCCCCCCCCCCACCGTACATTCTACGAAGTCCCCGCGGGTGGGGTTGGGGACCCCTTGTCTTTGTGTCCGACGGCAGGGCTCGGCGTGCCGCATGGAGGAGCGCAGTTTGCCATGCAGCGGCCGTGGGGAGTGCGTGTGTGGACAGTGCCTGTGCCACGCCAGCGAGTTTGGCCGTGTCTCTGGGGCCTTCTGCGAGTGCGACAACTTCTCGTGCCTCCGTCACAAGGGGCTGCTGTGTTCCGGTGCGTGCGTGCGTGCGTGCGCGTGCACATACACACAAGACATAAACCAGGGGTGGGCACATTTTTTGACTCGCGGGCCACAATGGGTTCTAAAATTTGACGGAGGGGCCGGGCCAGGGACAGATGTATGGAGTGTTTGTGTGAACTAATATAAATGACATGTAAAACTCATTACATGAAAGGATTTGGCCTTTAACAGGTAGCAAAGCATGTATTTGCAAGGCAATTAAACAAATTGCACGAACATGAACAATACAAAAAACATGTCGTAACTCCCGGTCAAAGTGCGCCATCTAATGGGGAAATGGGGGCATTACAGGAGAAATGTAAAATTTAATTTAATAATAATAATATTTGGACAAGTTCGGCGGGCCGGATTAAAAAGCCCAACGGGCCGTATACGGCCCGGGGGCCGGACTTTGCCCGTGTCTGACATAAACTAAACTAGAAACTTTCTGTTTTTGTTTTACTAGGTAAGGCCCTTTAGCTACGTGGCTCTTTTTCAGAAGCGACCGGGCCACAAACGATTGGCTCAACGAAGTGGCTTATCGTCACGTGGAAATTTATAGCGGCGGCCGAATACACCGAACGCACGTTGATTCTAAACATGGAGGGAAAAACCTGGAGGACCCAGAGAAAAATCCACGCGACCACTGGGAGAAAAAAGACATGCAAACTACAAATGTTCAGGCGTCGGGGTCGACCCCACGATCTCCTGTATACATGCTGAGAGAGGTAACATCCCACCACCGTGGCGCCCCCACCCCTTCCTTGTAGCCTGCATAGGCGGCACGGGGATTTCGTGTGGTCAGCACCGTGCGGGGGGACGTCTTAGTCTTCCCGGTGCTGATAATTTCCACACCTTAACGAGTTCCTCGTTTCAGACTCGGTAGACGTTGTGGGGATCCAGGCCCCCTTGACTGCCTTGCCGGTATGAGCGAGAGAGAGAGAGACACGAGTGAGATTTCAAGCGGAGCGCTGGTTTCGTCGGTGAGGATTGTGAGCGTGGAACGTCCGGCGAAACTTCATGGTCCTCAAATTGTGCATGTTGTGGATTTACTCTCCAACACACCGGTGTGCTGAACTAGTAACTAATCGGCACTTTTTGTTTACGTGACAAACCTTACTAATTGGCCGTGTCGGGTGGTGGCGGGTTTAACGACACATTTATATTTACGCTAGTTTGACCAACAAGAAAAACCTCTTATAGATAATATTGGTTGTGAAAGCCCTACGTGTTAAATTTCCTGGCTTCCTTGGGACGTTGGGGATTGTGGTCTTGGATGTGTCGACCTCATAGACTCATTTCCCTATTGTGATCATATTTTTCTTTGTTCTTTCTGTTTTGGTGTCACATCCCAATTTGTTCAATTAATTTTTTTAATTTGCTTGACAGTGTGCTGTACCTTCTTTGGTTCTTTCGGTAAAGTCACGTAGAATGAGAATTAAATAATAAATTGATAAAATAAAATAACACAATAATATTCTCACGACGTTTCGGCCACAACACAAGCGGCCTTCATCAGGTGAAGGGACGAGACTCCCTGTACGTATGGGATTTGGTCATTATACCTAATTAACGTGCAGCATTACGGGATGCCATTCGCGTGAACGACGCCATGGGTGATATTGGTCGCGAAAGCCTGCTGCTACGTGTTAAACTGACCGCCCCCCCCCCCCCCCCGCCCCCCGCCTCTCTCTTGCTGCGTGCCCCCCTCAACCCCACTCCCCTCCTCCCCCAGGCAACGGGCACTGCGACTGCGGCGAATGCCGCTGCCGCCAAGACTGGGTCGGCGAGAGCTGCAACTGCACGAGGCGCACCGAGGCCTGCCTGGGCGCCGACGGGCGGCTCTGCAGCGGCCGGGGGGCTTGCTCGTGCGGCCGCTGCGTGTGCACCCAGCCCGGCGCGTTCGGGGACGTCTGCCAGAAGTGTCCCACGTGCCCTGACGCCTGCAGCATCAAAAAGTAACGTCACGGGGGCACGCGCCCCCCCCCCCCCCCCAACCTCTCTCTCTCTCTCTCCCCCAAACACCCCCCCCCCCCACCGTACCGTCCCTCTCCCCGCCCACCACCACCAGTCAAGCGCCGAGTTTGGTGAGATGTTAACTACCTCGCCTGATGTGCAGGAGGGTTTGGGGGGTTCAATCCCGACCCTGACACCTGCTGTGTATATTTTTCTCTCTCTCTCTCTCCGCCTCTGCCCGTGGTCACGTGGATTTTTTTTTTCCGGGTCCTTCGGTTTTTTTCCCTCCACATTTAGAAAAAAATGCGTTTAGGCTTTTTTTTTAAATTATTTTGCTGTTATAAATGTCCGAACGATAAGCCACTTCGTTGAGCTATCATTTGTGACCAGGTCGCTTTTTAACAATAAGTTAATATCTCAGTGGGCTTTGTCTGGTAGGGTGGGGGTTGTATTTGTATGTGTTTGGGTGATTAGTTTGACGTTATATTCTTTGCTCTTTCGGTAAAGTCACGTTGAAGGGAAACAATAAAATAATAAAATATATATAAAACAATAAAAATTCTCACGACGTTTCGACCATAACACAAATGGTCGTCATCAGGTGTTTGTGTTATGGTCGAAACGTCGTGAGAATCTGTATTGTTTTATATATATTTTATTATTTTATTGTTTCCCTTCAACGTGACTTTACCGAAAGAGCTAAGAATATGAATTACTGCAGTCACGAAAGCTTTAAATCAAAATTTAGTTTGACGTTATTGTACTTTGCACTACTATCGTATCGTTGTTTTTGCATTGTCTGTCCCTGTAACGTTCTTACCCCGTGACCCCGACTGGACATCTGTTAAAAAGAGCTTTATAGTTCATCGGATTCCCCCAGTCGACGTAAATATTCTGACGGCACGGCCGAGCTCAGAGCGATAGCGCCGCTTGTCGCCAGAGGTCCTTCGAGCCCGGCGTCTGCTCTGCTCAAAGGTAAAGTAAAAAAAAGTCAAGTTTCAACTTCCCAGCGGACGTTTTACAGAAAAAAATCCCACGTCAACGGCCCCCAATGTGACAACAATTACCGTCAGGTCACTTCAATTGGGGAAACGCGGAGCGACGTCGCCGGCATTGCTCCGGGGTTTCTGCAGTGGGAATATAACCCGGCAGCTTCTTGACCCGCGATGACCCCGGAAAACAACCTGTCAGCCCCTTGACCTGCCATGACCCCCGGAAAACAACCCAGCAGCCCCTTGACCCGCCATGACCCCGGAAAACAACCCGGCAGCTCCTTGACCCACCATGACCCCCGGAAAACAACCCAGCAGCCCCTTGACCCGCCATGACCCCGGAAAACAACCCGGCAGCTCCTTGACCCGCCTTGACCCCCGGAAAACAACCCGGCAGCTCCTTGACCCGCCATGACCCCCGGAAAACAACCCGGCAGCCCCTTGACCCGCCATGACCCCCGGAAAACAACCTGTCAGCCCCTTGACCCGCCATGACCCCCGGAAAACAACCCAGCAGCCCCTTGACCCGCCATGACCCCGGAAAACAACCCGGCAGGTCCTTGACCCGCCATGACCCCGGAAAACAACCCAGCAGCCCCTTGACCCGCCATGACCCCCAGAAAACAACCCGGCAGCCCCTTGACCCGCCATGACCCCGGAAAACAACCCGGCAGCTCCTTGACCCGCCATGACCCCGGAAAACAACCCGGCAGCCCCTTGACCTGCGATGACCTCGTAAAACAACCCGGCAGCCCCTTGACCCGCCATGACCCCCGGAAAACAACCCGGCAGCCCCTTGACCCGCCATGACCCCCGGAAAACAACCCGGCAGCCCCTTGACCCGCCATGACCCCCGGAAAACAACCCAGCAGCCCCTTGACCCGCCATGACCCCGGAAAACAACCCGGCAGCTCCTTGACCCGCCATGACCCCCGGAAAACAACCCAGCAGCCCCTTGCCCCGCCATGGACCCCAGAAAACAACCCGGCAGGCCCTTGACCCGCGATGACCCCAGAAAACAACCCAGCAGCCCCTTGACCCGCCATGACCCCCAGAAAACAACCCAGCAGCCCCTTGACCCGCCATGACCCCCGGAAAACAACCCAGCAGCCCCTTGACCCGCCATGACCCCGGAAAACAACCCGGCAGCTCCTTGACCCGCCTTGACCCCCGGAAAACAACCCAGCAGCCCCTTGACCCGCCATGACCCCCGGAAAACAACCCGACAGCCCCTTGACCCGCGATGACCCCAGAAAACAACCCGGCAGCCCCTTGACCCGCCATGACCCCGGCGTGGCCCGCATGTGGCGGTGGGGGCGGGGTGGGGGCGGGGTGGGGGCGGGGTGGTATACTTTTTGATCATTACCCCGTGTGTAGAGATAGTTCAATGTTTTTTGTGCCATTTTATTGAGTGGAAACTTACTCTGTGTGTTTGTTCTCTTGGTGTGGTCTGGCACGGTTTAGTTGTCGTCGTCGTCGTTGTTGTTGGCTTGCCCACTCTTGATAATTAATTTATCCTTTGGTTCTTTCGGTAAAGTCACGTAGATAGAAAATAATAAAATAAAAATAATAAAAATTAAAAAATTGTGTTGCGTTTCGATCGCAACACATCATCATCCCCCCCCCCCCTTTTCTCTCTGCCTGATGACGACCGCTTGTGTTGTGATGGAAACGTCGTGATTTTTGTGTGTTTTTAATGAATATTTTATTCGTATTATTTTATTATTTTTCTACCCAAGTGACTTTACCGAAAGAACCAAAGAATATGAATTCCTGCAGTCACGAAAGTTTTAAGTAAAAATTTCTTCATAATTTGCTTGTATTTAGTGCCTTGCTCACCATTTTCTCTATTTTTTGCACTCTTATTGCGTTGTTTTGGTATTGTTTGCTGTTGTAACTCGCTGACCCGTCCCATACTCGGACATCTTTTGCAAAAGAGCTTCTTAGCTCATCCGATTCCTCCTCCGGTCCAAACGAAAGACTCTTGATTTCTGATTTGGCTGAAACGGCGCGCATTCCGGTAGAGCGGCTCCGCGCTTGTGATTGGTCGGACGCTACGTGTTCGCAGGGAGTGCGTCGAGTGCCGGCTGTTCCAGCGGGGCCCCCTCTGGGAGGACGGCTCGTGTGAGCAGATGTGCGTCGACGAGATACAGCAAGTGGAGACGATGGGTCCGTCGCACACACACACGCACGCACGCACGCGCTGCACAACTTCATGGGACATCCCTTGCTAATATCATCAAAATATATAAATAGGTTTTACCCTTTCTGGCAATAAAACAGTTGTGTTAAGATGTTCCAAGCTGAAATCTTTTACAAGGACTCGTGTTTGCATTGACCACACATAACTTGTGGTGAACATGTAAACGTAATGCACGCTCTGGTAGTATATGCATTGTCTTGGAAACTGATTGGTCCACACCAGAGACAGCTTTCTTGAGAGCGTAGTTCTTAAACAGTGTTAGACCAGAGCATGCCAAAAGGTCGAACAGCTCAAATACAATGCTGAGTAATACCTGCTGGGCTGCATGCTATAGGCAGAGCTGCATGGCCCCCAGTACACAGTCTTGGATATCAAGGACCAGGGGTTACAAGGCTCAGGCCGAAGCCAAGGCCCAGGTGCCTGTGCGGCCGAAGCCAGCGTCAAGACCAGTCAAGGCCACATGCTCTAGACCAATGCTTCCCGACCTCGCTGGTATGTACGTACTTTGAACTTTCGCACCGTACGTAGCCAACCGTGCTAATTGGAGGTGCTGATCGCCGTCAACCCTCAAAATATTTTCACGTGCCTCCGTGCACCGATAACGCAACATTTCGAACTTAGACCTACTCTTAATGAATGCCAGGAATCGGCAGATTTAGCCGAGAGCCAGCTGTGTTGACGAGCCGTGAATGCGGTCTGCGAATCGTTGTGCCATGGGCCGCAGTAGTTGTGCCACGGGCAGTTCCACGGACCAATCCCCCACGACCTTTCAGAACGAATCCCGGTGGTCTGCGGACAAGCGATTGGGGACCGCTCCTCTAGACTTAGGCCTTGGTCAAGGCTGGTGGCTCCAAGCCAAGTCCTCAGACCCAAGCCCACACCCCAGAGGTCACTCTCAGGGATGTAGGAGCCCAGAAAGTAGTCTCGAGCCGGTGTCAATTCCCAGGAGTCTGGTATGCACGTATGTACGTACGTATGTATGTTTTAACTTATTTCACGCAGTACGTAGCCAACCGTGCTAATCGGAGGTGCGGGGCCGAAAGACAACACACTAAACGCCAAAAGCAGTTCTGAAGAAATTAGTTTTCAACCCAGACGATTTAAAAGTGCATAGCTAGCTCCCAGTGGGGTCCTAACACCGTAAGGAAGAGCGTTCCAGACGGCCACGGAAGCACATCTGAAAGCGCCACGCGATGCGGCGACCGTCTTCATATTCGATGGCTAGCCAAAAGCCGCTGCTGCCGCGAGGATGGCCGTTGTGTTCGCGCGGTGACGGTTGGTCCACGTGTCGCTTGCGCAGCGGCGATCTGCGATGCGCCGTTGAAGTCACGCGGCGGGCGGGCGGGCGCGTCGCTGCGCGCCCCGTGTGTTGGTGATGCAGATGAGAGTCACAAGGACGCCGTGACCTGCAGCTACAAGACCCAGGACGAGTGCATCATGTCGTTCACTTACACAGAGGGCTCTGACGAGAAGTCCGTCCTGGCCGCGCTCAAGGAGCCAGGTGAATCCGTCCGTAGTCTGCACGAGCGCTACGCTCACCATGTGCTCATACTCGTGTTTTTACGGTACATGTGCGTGTGCGTATTTATAATAGGGAAGTTTCTTTTGCCAATCCACTGCCGGGTGAGGGCCTCGCCACGCCGAGCGGGTCGTAGAGGTTGCTTGACCGTATACTGAGCACATTTCCAACCAAACGTCGCACCGCAAGCACCGTCGCACACCTGCCTGATTCCCTTACTGATAAACTATAAACTATTAAACGGATTTTATTTTGCCAGGTGAGGCCCACAGAGCTTTATAGGGCTTGTTCAGAAGAGATCTGGCTATCGCAAATGATAGCTCAACGAAGTGGCTTATCGCGTGGAAATTTATAGCAGCAGCCGAATATTCTGAACGCACGTTTGTTCTAAACGTGGAGGGAAAAGCCAGAGGACCCGGAGAAAAATCCACGCGAATACGGGGAGAGAGAGAGACACGCAAACTCTAAATATACAGCCAGCGTCAGGGTCGGGATCGAACCCACGACCTCCTGCATACCAGGCGAGGTAGTTAACATCTTGGGAGGACCCAGAGAAAAATCCACGCGAATACGGAGAGAGAGAGAACACAAACTCCAAATATACAGCCGGCGTCAGGGTCGGGATCGAACCCAAGACCTCCTGCATACCAGGCGAGGTAGTTAACATCTTGGGAGGACCCAGAGAAAAATCCACGCGAACACGGAGAGAGAGAGAGAACGCAAACTTAAAATATACAGCCGGCATCAGTGTTGGGATCGAACCCACGACCTCCCGCATACCAGGCGAGGTAGTTAACATCTTGGGAGGACCCAGAGAAAAATCCACGCGAACACGGAGAGAGAGAGAGATAAGAGAGAGAGACACACGCAAACTCCAAATATACAGCCGGCGTCAGGGTCGGGATCGAACCCCACGACCTCCCCCCCGCATACCAGCAGGCGAGGCAGTTAACATCCCGTCGCGCGCGGCACCGCCGTGCGACCCCCCGTCAACTCATCTGTCTCCCGTGTTGTCCGCCCGTGTTGTCCGCCCGTGTTGTCCGCCCCGGTGCGCCGTCGCGCAGAGTGCACCCACGGCGTGAGCGAGGCCAACGCGGTGCTGTGCGTCGTGGCCGGCGTTCTGCTCGCCGGCGTCGCCGCTCTGCTCGCTTGGAAGCTCATGGTGACGGTGCAGGATCGGCGCGCGTTCTCGCGCTTCCAGAACGATCGCATGCACGCCAAGTGGGGCGCGGTACGTATCAGAATCCGAATCGGAATCTTGGGTTACGCTGGAGGAATCCGATGGGCTATGAAGCTCTTTTTTCCGCAGATGTCCAGTCGGGGCGGGTAAGAAGGTTGCGACAATAAAAAAAATATTAAAACACGTTAGTAGTGCAAAGTAAAAGAAACGTAAACAAATCACGCAAAAACATACAAATACAGCACTCTAAACCATCTCCATCCTACCGGTTCGAGCCCACCGAGATATTAACTTATTTTTCAGACATGACCTGGCCACAAATGATAGCTCAACAAAGTGGCTTGTCACGTGGAAATTTATATCAGCACAATTAATCTAAATAATATCAATGCATGTTTCGAAATGTATTTTTAACTTCTTTCGCACTGTGCGTAGCCAACCGTGCTAATCAGAAGTGCGGGGAGGAAGAAAAACTAACTGAACACAAAAAGCAGTTCTAAAGAAATCAGTTTGTCAATTTAGATGATTTTAAAGGAAGGAAGAGCGTTCCAGACGGCCGAAGAGCAGCACTTTCGCAGAACACAGCACAGGTGATGGTAATACTTACATTTTATATAGCATCATTCATGCTAATAGCATCCCATAACTCTGTACGTTAATTATATATAAGGACCAAATCCCCTACACAGCCATGACCAATAAAATTAAAACCCTACTACTACCAAGCAAAATAAAAAATGTAATAAACAAATTAAGAAATGGCACCAAAACAGAAGCAGCACAAACAACAACAACAATATACGGTATCACAACAGAGAAAGGAGTCCACATCCCAGACCACAATCCCAACTTCCCAATCAAGCCAGGAAATATAACACATAGTAGGCTTTCCCGACCAATATCATACAAAATGAAGGATTTTTTGGGGGTTAGATCGGAGTAAATATAAATGTGGCGCTAAACCCGCCACCACCCGGCATGGCCAATTAGTAAAGGTTTGTCACGTAAACAGAACGTGCCAATGAGGAAACCTTCATAGGAGGGCGGCAGGGGTGGAGTGCCAGAAAGTTACGGCTAACTTATACCGATCAGTCCAATCTCGTTGTCGATGTTTTATTGGAACCGGTGGCCCCCCGCTGCCTGGCTATCGCGATCCGGTTCGAGAATGCCAGGCGCGAGCCAACGACGTGGAACGAAATCTCGAAGAGCGCGCGCAGAGAAGGGGTGTGCAGGGATGCACGCTGGGAAATCACGTTGACAGGACGGGCAAAGGGGCGATCGCATGGATCTGGGAGCGCGTGCAGGTCACACGCGGGAATTCAGACTTGAGAAAAAACGGAATGGAGCAGGGGGGGGGGGCACGTCATGGCTAGCGGGGGACGATGATGGCCGATGGTCAGGAACCGTGAAGGGGAGCGGCAGCCGAGGAACGGGAACGCGTCTTGAGAGGACGCCCGTCGAGGGAGATGGAGCGACGGTGGAACGAGCTCGCGTGCGGCTGGATTAGCGCCTCCGATTGGCACGGTTTTGGCTCCGTACGGCGCGAAAGGCGTTCAAGGTACGTTACGTCCCAGGATTGTGAGATGGTGACGCCGGCTTAGGAAGGCCTTCATCTAGAAGACGATAGATCACGGCCGATGAGGATGATGATGTCTCCATGTAGGGTTCTTCGAGTTTTGTAAACGACAGATTTGAGGTGACCCCCTTTCAGGTAGAAGCCAAAAAAAATATCAATGATGACAATAGATTAAAATAATATTAACTTCAGGAATAAACAATGGACGTGTTTTAATGCCGCCGTTAAAATAAATTAAATTAACCCTTTTACGTGTCCTGACTTCTGGGCCACCCTGTATAGTAGGTGACGTCTCGGGAAAATGGCCTGTCTTCATGGCAAGCAATCAGAGAGGCCAAAGAGATGCACTGGGTAATGAGAGTGGACTTCGACTCCCAACTTGTACGATCCAATCTGTCTCGCCTCTCTGTGCTACGTCGAAGAGCCATTGCCCAAAAACGTCACCTGTCGTATATTTTGATGCTTGCTTTTTTTTTGAAAGCGGCGTTATTGACCTACGTGTTGAAATTTGTTTTCGTTAGCGTACGCTCGTGCACCGGCTACCAAATGCTGCAAAAGGCAGCGTCGCCAAAGTTATTCGGTCAAAATAGTGAATCATTGCATAGCGACAGACTGCGGGTTTAGACGGCAAGTGTTTACAACAAACAGGCTTCTTGCTCTGCCCGGGACCAGTACCCTTCACACACGAGCGTCGGCCGCTGACGCATCCTGCCGTCCACAAGCTCGGGCATTCGCAAGCCACCCCACGCTTACTCACTCCCGCACACAGACCGGTTTCTTTCATCGCGTGACACCGTGCGCTGTTTGTCCTGTTTTCCCCGATGAACTTCTCCGTCCATCTGCGTTTCCCCCCCCCCTTTCGCAGGGCTCCAACCCGCTCTTCCCGAACTCCAACCACTCCGAGGTGTCCTTCCACGGGCTGCCGCTACCGTCTGGGAATTGAGGTTTTTTTTTTTTTTTTTTAGAGAGAGGTCGGTGGGCGACGCGCGGCGGTTCGGAACGCAGACCAACGCCTGTGACGCGCCCCTTGTAAGCTCGCGGACATCGGGGGCGGGGGGGGGGGGTTGGGGGGGGAGGGCTGTCTGCCAGGACACGTTCGCTTGCGGCCGGGTCCAACGAGTTCCTCCTTGTCCGCAACCAGCCGTCGCCTCGAGACTGGCCGGACCGACATCGACGCTTGCTGAGCGGCGAACGACTCGCGCCCATCGCTCGACTTTTCTCCGATCCCTGCCGAGGCCCCCCCCACTACCCCCCCCCAGCTGCCCGTCGACCTGCGTCTTAAATGGCACCTGCCTCATTATCCGCCCCCCCCCCCCACTCCCCACCACGCTTGTATGTCCCCACCGCGCCCCCCCCCCCACCACTCCGGCCCTGCTTGGCCCCGAGCCAGATTCACAAGCCTCCTTTGCGAGGCCAAAGCATCGCGGTGGCTCGACACGGCAAACGGCCGCTGGGAAGTCCAAGCCGTGCCGTTAAATGTGCCGCCCCACGCTGGCTTATCTCGGATGTGCCAGTGGAAGGTCGGCATGTGTGTATATATACGTAACGTGTCATCCCGAAATCGGCGTATGAAGTTGCGATTTTATTCGGTGCAAGTCTACTTGTCGCAGGCTCACCTTGAAAGAAGTGGATTCGGAAGTGACGGAGCGTTGTCATTTACAGGCGGTGACCGTCGTCACGGTGATTGTCGTCACGGTGATTGTCGTCATGGTGATTGTCGTTACGGTGATCGTGACGAGTGCCGAAATGATGGTGGTGATTATTGAACTGAAACCAAACAATTTTTATTTTATCAGGTAAGGCCCACTGGGCAGCTAAAAAGCTATTTTGCAGATGCGACCTGGCCATCACAAATGATAGCTCAACGAATTGGCTTATCATTTTGCGGACATTTATAGCAGCCAAATACTCTAAAACGCGCAATGTTTATGGTAAATGCGGAGGGGAACACACCGTAGGGCCTGGAGGAAAAAAGATTCATGCGACCACATTGTTACAAGTGAAGATGCGCAGAGTGGCAACGATACTGTTCCGATCGGAGAGGAAACGTATTTGCGGAATGCAGCCCGGTCAATAATCAACACAGTGACGGCGGATCACTGCAGTGAAAATTGTCTACAGTTTCTTGAGATAGAGTTTCGGAGTATCCTTTCATGTGTAACCATGTAATCTTCCTTTTTAAGTTATTGATGAATTGTAATATAAACGCGTGGCCATGTGTAGCAATAACACATCTGTGTTCAATTCTTTTAAGTGGGGAAGTGAAGTGCCCCACTTGGCATTCCCTGCGTGCGTCCGCGCGTGCGTTTACCTGTAGAAACGTTCGCCAATTCTTGATACGTTCACACGCTCCGTTGCCGTAGTGGAACACAAACTGTTTAAATCCGTAAAAGCCTTCCCACGGCAATACGGATTAAATGTTACACGACTGGCGGTTGCAAATTGGTAAGAATTGGATTCGGTTAATTCTAAACTAATTCCAATTCACAATGGAATTTTTTGGTACCCCTTTAAAATGTTGCGGTTGCCGGCCCAGCAGCATGTGTGGCCAGCTAACGAAGTGGGCCCCTTTTCCGTAATGGCGAAAAGAAAGTGTGTAGACTACGGTAATGGTAATATTTTTAGCGTGCGGTTGATACATGTAAATACCAGCGTCAAGAGCCAGCAGGTTTTTATTGACTTGCTTTCTGTCCGCGTACGTTGCGAAATAACTTCAACATACATACATGCGTACGTTCGTGGAGAATTCAGGTATTCCATTCCATGGTCCCGTATGATTTAATTCTCAGCTGGCCACACGCAGGCAAACTTACTATGCTTGAGATTCAGTATTATCGCTTGCTGCTCAAGAGAGACCCCTTAACACAACACCAGGGTCTCGAAGCTCACTTGATTGGATTGACTTTGTGTGCGTATTGAATAATCAAATGTCTCTGCTTTTAAGACTTGATATATTTGATTTTACTCCGTTTTTATGGTGACCCTGGGACGCACACACGGAGCAATGAAGCCAGAAAAAAACATTGGATATATTCCGAGAACATTTCGTCTTTTTTTTTAACACGTCGAAATAATTCGCAAAACGTTGTCATTAACACAGCCTTAAATTATAAATGTAGGAAAAAGCCGGGTGACGCCGTGCCAGAAACGTGATGAAGTGAGCCTTCTGGGTGCCACAAGTTCTGGCCTGCAACCCCTTGAGGACTGCAGTGAAGTGTTTATAGCCCACTGGCAAAAAACTCGTCTGGATAAGCGATTCGGAGGGGGGCATTTTCTGCTTCTGTAGCGTCCTGAAGTGAGTTTACGCTTCATCATGAGTTAAAGTTAAACTTGTTTGTCCAGGTGAGAACTCGAGAGACCAGGAGAGTCTCCGTTGCAAGTATGACCTGGGACGTGAATCTGCCAGGCGGGGAGGGGGGGGGGGATGATTGCTGTGCAGAATCCCATTTTGGGTGATCCGCGGTGTAACCTTCGAATTTTGGCAACGTTAGGACCACGACGCCGGCACACGATGGCCCGCTCTTGCGAATGACGCCAAGGGGATCTTTAGGGTCCACTGTGAGTGAAGCAGATGGCGCGCAGCAGCAGCAGCAGTATAATTATCACTTGGGTTATTACCGCAGTATTAAACGTGGCGGCCACTGGATTCGAACCGTGATCATCTGCAACAGTCGGCGATAGCGCTACCGCCGCCGGCTCGGCCTTGTCGCCGCGATGGGCCAATGCTTTTGTAGTGACACCGACACACGTGGTGACTTATCAAGAGCCTTTTATTCAGACACGGCAACAACGACGCCCAGGCTTGGTTCTTGAGGCCCGAGCTCCGTCTTCTTCTCCAACGTCTCCTCTCCCCTTGTGCTCTGCCCCCTTTCATACCTCCCAAGCGCCCTCTCTGGAAGCTTCTATGATCCCACTCCCTTTGGCCAATCCTGACCCTTCCCCACCCAACGGTTCTAGACCATCCTTCTACAGTCCACCGCTTGATTTCTCGCCTCTCTGCCTTTCAAATCTTTCCTCCAATCCCTTTCGATCTTCGCCTCCCGACCAATCGCTGCGGAGGTCTCCCTGCACCAACGGGGGAGGCCTCGGCCCCACCTCTTAGTTGTCTGTGTGACCTTTGAGCGGTCGTGGCCGTCTCTTGTTGTTGTCAGGCGAGAGAGAGATTCACCCCCCCTCCCCCCGTTGGGGTATGAAGAAGAACCAGGCTGCCCTGTTACGTTGGCCGCCTACATTTTCCCCGTTGGGCCCCCCCCCTCCAGCATTGCGGGGGGGGGGGGGGGCGTGGGGCGGTGTTGACGCAGTGGTTGGCGCACTTCGCCGCCACACGGGAGTACGTGGCCCCGAGTTGGATCCCTCTACCCCTGGCCACGTGTTACCGTCGTTGGCAAGTGACATCTCTGAGCCGGGAGCTGGGCCCAAACCACCCCAGAAACTCGCCAGCCTGCGCTGGCCAGCGTAGGGCAGGGTGATGTGGTCAGCCGACTAACAAAGGCTTGACGCACGGCACGGTGAGGCCGTCTTCCAGCGGTGGATTGACAAAAAAAAGAATGCAAATAGAATTGCCGTTATGAAGTCGTTGCGAGTGACAAAAAAGGTGGGCACATTCATTCTGTTCTTGGCTCGCCATCGAACAAAGACGGTCACTACATCGCCGCGACCGTCTGGAACGCTCTTCCGATATTAGGAAGCCACTGTGAGCTACATGCACCTTTAAATCTCGATTGAAGACTCATTTCGTTCTAACTACTTTTTGTGTTTAGTTCGTTGTCCTCCCCCCCCCTCCCCCGCACCTCCGATTAGCACGGGAGGCTACGTACGGCACGAAAGAAGTTCAGCATCATTCAGTGTGGGCTTTTGCACACCCGGTTGCCAAAATGCGATCCCTCAATTTCACGTCCCGTTAAGGGGGAGGACTCGATTCTGACGCCGTGCAGCGCGCCGGCGACCTCAAGTGCGGGCGCCCTCACCACCCCCCACCCCCCCGTGAGTGAAGAGTTGACGGCTTCGTTTTGACAGCAGCCGCCCCTGGCCCAGTTCGCCGCAACGGCGAAGCGTTGACCGCTATGCCAGCCCACCCCCCCACCCCCCAAAACGCGTGCGCCCAGACGGAAGGTCAAACGGCTTTGCGTAATGACCGAGGAGGGCCAGTGCCGGATGAAGCTAAGTGTGGTGCCTGCAGCTTATGATGTTGTAAATTTAAAAAAGCAATAAATATTAAAACACAAATGTTTGCCCTGCATAGTAAAGTAATTGTACTTTTTTTTATTTGCTATACAGCCCAGATAATACGACAAATCGCTAACCTTAAACACCCAGTCGTTCATAAAAGTCGAAGGTGGTATAGTACTATAGTAATAGGCAGTGCCGGATGAAGCTAGTGCGGGGCGTGTATCATGTTATAAAGGGGCCCTAAATATATATTAAAAAAACAAATATTAAAAAAAAAATTACTTGCATAGTAAAGTAATTGTATTTTTTCATTTGCTATACAGCCAGATAATACGACAAATCGCTAACCTTAAACACCCGGTCGTTCATAAACGTTAAAGGCGGTATAGTACTATAGTAATAGAGCAAGTGCAGAATCACTGAACCGGAATTGATAGCTTGAAAGCATTTAGCGCGGGGCCCTTGAAAGTGCGGGGCCCGTAGCGTGTGTCGCTACTTTTGCCACTGGTATGATCCGGAACTGCTGAAGGCACCGTGCCTAGCTATAAAGACAAATACAAAGATCCCCCGTATAGCCTTAACATACTGTCGGGGCAAGTGCTGTTAGCGAGTAGCACCTATGAAGGCCGGCACGGCACACGAGGGCGGTGGGTGGCCAGCGCCACGCCCTGAACCGCCGTTGTCGCCCTCTTGGCAATGTTTAAACATTGCACCAGGTACTCATTTGAGGCCGAGTCGACCTAGAGGAAAGCCCAGGACCGGTTCAGATAATCGTCACCCGTGTTGGTGGCCATGAGCGGGAATCGAACTCGGGTCGCCGGGTTCATAGCGCAGCGTAGCGCTAGCCGCTGCTATACAAGCGCTCCCCTCCATAGCACTTGGGACAGACACGGACTCTGTGAGTGTATAATCTATCTCGCTAACAGCACTTGCCCCTACAGTCTGTTAAGGCTATACCGGGGGGGGTCTTTATATGAGTGTGTGCGTACACCTGTGGATAATTTGTCCACGGACGTGGATCGAGTCTCGCGTGGCATCTTTGCTCGCCGTCACTTTATTTATTGGCAGGGTCTCTTCCCCTTCGCTTTGCTCCGTGCATTTGGATAGAAAAAAAAGCTGTGGACGAAGGCACGCGCGGACCCCCCCCCCCCCCCCCCCCCCGTGGAAACACCGAGCGAGTCGCGTTTGACGAAGCTCCTCTCCGTATGCGCCAGACCAACTCGGAGGGCTTTGTTGCATCTCTCGTCTCGGAACATTTGAAAGGGGCCACCCTCCACCCCACCCCACCGCCCAGTGGCAGCTGTCCATGTGCGGGCACAAAGTGACAGAGCACCCGGCATGCGAACGGTGTCATCTGTCCCCTTTGTCTTCCGGTGACCACCCGCCCCCATTTGTCTTCATCGATGTCGCATTCGTGAGAGGGTCCTTCGACAGCCCCTTAAGTGGTGAACACCTTTCGCGTTGGCCCCGGCTCCCCAGGTGTGCGCTCTCCGTGAAGTCGCGCAGGGCGTCTCACATGGGGGGAGGGGGGGGGAGGGGAGGGGGGGTTATATCGCGTAAATATATAAATGTGTCGTTAAACCCGCTACCACCCGACACGGCCAACTCGTAAGGGGGTTGTCACGTAAACAGCACGTGGCCAATTCGTACAGCACCACCGGTTGTGTGTTGGGGAGCCATGCAAGCCACACCGTTGACAATGCGAGTAACGGACGTTTCGCCAGTAATTACAAACCAGCTTCGTCAGACGACGGCAAACCAGATTTGTTCGTGTTCAACTGGCCGGTCAGAGTTCGCCCACCCCCCTCTACGGCGCGAGGGCTGTAAGCTCGCCATGCCAGCTCGCCATGCCAGCCAGCCACGGGGGACTACGTGCTCGACGAAATCTGCGGTCCGCACGCGTGGGAGCGAAATCCATCGCGCGTTGGCGAGAGGCGGGCGCGTACGGCAGGCGGGGCCGGATTGAGGCACGGGAGCTTCTAGGGGCTGCAGCCCCGGGGGTCTCCGCAAGCTGGAGGACCTCCGAGAGATTAAGTGAAAAAAGTGGTTTCGTTTGTGTGAACGGTGAATTGTATTTGTTTGTTAGCCTTGTAAAAAAAGTACAATTTTATTGGTTTCTTTAACTTTATAGTCTTTGTTCTTTCGGTAAAGTCACGTGGAAGGGAAACAATAAAATAAAAAATATAAAAAATAAAATTCTCACGACGTTTCGACTGCAACACAAGCAATCATCACCAGGTGTGAAAATATTACTGGGGGGACTCACGGTGCCTGTAGCCCAGGGGCCTACACAATATTAATCCGGCCCTGACGACAGGGGTGGTGGGGGGGAGGGTGAATAGCTTTGATGAGTCGGTGCGAATGCTTTTTTTTTTGCGAACGTGGCCAAGTCGCGCAGCGTGCACGCCCAATAGACCCGAGGCGTTTCCGTGTCGCGTCGGGGTTTCGGACAAGCCAGGAGTGTTTGTGTGTGGAGGGTTTGCGCAACACAGAGGGGCGAAAGATCCCCCTCCCGTGTGGCCTTCAACAACAGACTGTGGGTGCAAGTGCTGTTAAAGCGAGCACGTGTTGAAGGGCTGGCACGTCACGCGAGGGGGGTGGGTGGCCGGCCAGCAATCACGCCCGGCCGCCTTTGTGTCTTCCCAGTGCTGATGTTTACCAGCCGGACCAACTATTCACTTGAGGCAGGGTCGACCTAGGGGAGTCCCAGGACTCGTTCAGATTGGAGCGAGTGGTATATTTTTTTTTGTCCGTGAGCGCCCTTAACTCTTCATGTTTTGCGAAGTGCTGAGAATTACTCGTCTCGTTGTTTTTTTTTTCGAAAAGCTGAGAGTTGTCCAAAGGAAGAAGAAAAAAAAGGACGCATTTATACCCGCAAATTTTTTTGTTTGCTTTTTGTTGCAAAGGGATTTCGCAGGGTCCATCGGACGCGTATTAAAAACGTTGAATTTGACAAGCGCGCGCGAGAGAGAGAGAGAGACAGAACCCCCCACCCGCTGCCGAGACAGGGAGAGGCACGAGACAAGGAGAGGCTCCGCTTGGCGGCCAGCCACGCACGGATTGTTTTTCGCCTTCTCTCGGACACAATCGGCGCGCATGGGGAAATGGGGGGGGGGGTGGGCCCACGCCGCGAGCGGGACTTTAGCCGCCACCGCCACAGGGAGCCCCTACGAACAAAACAATACCGACAGGGGCCACGCATTGAGACGCCAAAGGGAGGGGGGGGGGGGTCCGAGCGCGCTCCGAACGTCGCCAGCGGAGTCGCACGCGCTGAGATTGTGGAAAGCGAGAGGCGATTTTTTTAGGGCTCGGGTCCAGCACCGCTGCTGATTTTCCATTCGATCACGCGGCTAGAACATCGACGCCGTCAACCCTCTCTGGCGCGATGGGGGGCGGGGGGGGGCAAGTGTCCTTTTCGTAAACCCCCCAAAAATTGTCCGGGTATAAGCGTTAAACAGTGGTGGGTGGACAGGGGTGGGGGCAGTGTCGGATTACCGTAGTAGCACAAGTAGCTACGACACGTGTAGTAGCTACATCATGTGTAGTAGCTACATCATGTGTAGTAGCTACATCATGTGTAGTAGCTACATCATGTGTAGTAGCTACGACACGTGTAGTAGCTACATTATGTGTAGTAGCTACATCATGTGTAGTAGCTACATCATGTGTAGTAGCTACATCATGTGTAGTAGCTACATCATGTGTAGTAGCTACATCATGTGTAGTAGCTACGACACGTGTAGTAGCTACCACATGTAGTAGTAGCTACATTATGTGTAGTAGCTACATCATGTGTAGTAACTACATAATGTGTAGTAGCTACGACACGTGTAGTAGCTACATCATGTGTAGTAGCTACATCATGTGTAGTAGCTACATCATGTGAAGTCGCTACAGCATGTGTAGTAGCTACATCATGTGTAGTAGCTACATCATGTGAAGTAGCTACATCACGTGTAGTAGCTACGGGCCCCGCACTTTCAAGGCACCCGCGCTAAACGCTTTCAAGCTATCAATTCGCGGTTCAGTGATTCTGCACTTGCTCTATTACTATAGTACTATACCGCCTTCAACTTTTATGAACGACCGGGTGTGTAAGGTTAGCGATTTGTCGTATTATCTGGCTGTACAATTACTTTACGTCTTTACTATGCAAGTTAAACATTTGTGCTTTAATATTTACACGGTTTTTTTCATGTAGGGCCCCTTTATAACATCATATGCTACAGGCCCCGCACTTCGCTTGATCAGGCACTGGGTGGGGGGGTGTGGAGCTATACGAACAAAATAGGACATGTTTAAACACGTGATCGGAAACTTGATACGTATGTTTCGAACTTCTTTCGTGCCGTACGAGGCGAACCGTGCCAATCAGAGGTAGGCGCGGTACACGATTTAAACCGGTGCGTATCACCCCTGTGCAGTAAGAACGCGCCGTGCACGCGCGTGAACGTTCGACATACAGACGAACGAACGAACAACGATTACGACTACATAACGTGTGCTTCTCAACCCTTTAAACCAGGGGTGGGGAACGTCCGGCCCGCGGGCCGTATGAGGCCCCGCGAAATCATTTGGGTCTCTGGCCCTGCCAAGGCAACCGCAGGCGGGACTCGAAATTCAACAAATCTAGGAGCAAACCTGGAAAAGCAGTTGCGAGTAGCAGCAACATCGTCAATACCAGCCAACATCCTCACCACGCCTCGCCAAATAGAAGCAATTCCAGCCCATCGCATTAGGGGCGAGTTAATTAAACGTTTGACCGAATATAACGGGCTAATTTTTAAGTTGATCATTTTGTATGGCCCGCGAATGATGTTATAACTATCTAAATGGCCCTTGGCATAAAAAAAAGGTTCCCCACCCCTGCAAGTTTAAACCCTGGGGGTGGCGTGGAAAGCCGTGTGCTCTGCTTGGTCGAGCGGTAGCGGCCAGCTGAGGACACCAGCGCAGCCTCCCATCACCCCCTCGTAAAACACCAGGGGGGGGAGGGTGTAGCCAGTCGCTCTCTCCCCAATTTTTCCGGTGGCTGGAACGACTCCGCGGTTCGAGTCGTG